TATATATATATATATATATATATATATATATATATGTGCATACATCTACGCGTGTAGATGCACCTTACTTACAAACCGTGCAGAATAGTAATAATAATTATTATTACTATTATTATATTATAATTATAATAATAATAATTATTATATTGTAATAATTATAATAATCATTATAATAATAATAATTATTATTATTGCAGAATAATAAAGGGTCTTGATTTAAGAAAAGAAATAAAAATCAAAACGACAGTACTTCTCTGTATCCCTGCATGCATTTTTAATTATATTATTTATTATTTATAAAAAAGAAGAAGCCTCTGACTAATCGAGTGTATATGCATACACTGCAACGCCCAACAATAAACTAATCATGCAACATATTAACATCATCAAGAATCTAAACCCTAAACCCTAAACCCTAAACCCTAAACCCTGTGGATTCTAAAGACAGCAACGTAGGTTGCCTCCGTTCATTAGATGTGCGTCTCTTGCTGCAGCAGCAAAACGAATAGCCGCAGCAGCAACAACAGCAGCAAGAGCAGCAACAACAGCAGCAGAAGCAGCAACAACAGTAGCCCCAACAGCAGCACCAGCAGCAGCAACAGCAACAGCAACAGCAACAGCAGCAAGAGCAGCAACAGCAGCAAGAGCAGCAGCCGCAGAAAAAAATACAAAATGTTTAGTTTTATTATGATAGTAAAAATAATAATAATTGCAGCGGCGCCGGTTAAGGGCGCTCCGGCGGAATTAGGGTTTAGGGTTTAGGGTTTAGGGTTTAGGGTTTAGATTGCGGAGGCAATCCTATCAACAGTCTGTTCCATGAGAGAGACAAGAGACTGCTCAGCGCTCTGTCTCTCTTCTTCGGCCTTTTTAATATCCTTTTGCAGCTCTATTACTATTTCTTCAATTAAACTCAACAGACAAGACAGATGCTTCTCTCTAACAACAAACACAAACAAATAAATAAATATATATATATATATATGTATATAAATAAATATATTATATACTAATTAATTAATTAATTAATTAATTAATTAATTAATAGTAGATAAAGAGAAGAAGAAAGAGGCTTCTCTCTAACAACAAACACAAACAAATAAATAAATATATATATATATATAAATGTATAATATATATTTATATTTATATATTTATATACAAGCAAGCATATAAAATATATATAACATTATATATAATATATTATATACATAAACATATAAATATATAGCATATGAATATAATAAAAGATTATTAAGAGAGATATCAGCTGCCTTCCTCGTTGTGTTTATTATTTTATTTTATTTTAACTAATTAATTATTTAATTGATTAAATTAAATTAATTAAATAAAATTAATTATTTATCTAATTACCTCGACTCCCTCTCCTGTTGTATAAGACCCTGAAGCCGCTGCATCTGCTCAGCTACTTCTCGCACAATCCTGCACATAAACCCTAAACCCTAAACCCTAAACCCTAAACCCTAAACCCTAAACCCTAAACCCTAGAGTCAAGGCCCTAGACAATACGCTCTACACCTTCAAGAGCGGGCCTGCTGGCCATCGCCTCGATCCTAGAGCCCTAAACCCTAAACCCTAAACCCTAAACCCTAAACCCTAAACCCTAAACCCTAAACCACCAACCTGCTTTCCATAGCCTCCCGCTCGCGAACCTCCGCCTGCAGCGCCTCCCGAAGTTTTGGAATTTCCACCTGCATGATAGCGTTCGAGGGTTTAGGGTTTAGGGTTTAGGGTTTAGAGGTGGGAGCGTATGCATGTCGAGGGTTTAGGGTTTAGGGTTTAGAGTTCGGATTGTGTGCAAGCTGTGGCAGTGTTTGCTGGCTGATGGTTTAGAGGGTTGAGGGTTTGCTGGGGCAGATTAGGGTTTAGGGTTTAGGGTTTGAGATTAAGACTAACGCCCCTGACGCGTGTATTGGAGTCACGACTGCTACTGAGGGTTTAGGGTTTAGGGTTTAGGGTTTACCTCGCAGTACTGCACAATATTTGCCTCCTGCTTTTGTCTCTGTTGATTTTCTTGGAGAATGTCCGTCCTGCAGATACACCCGAAAACCCTAAACCCTAAACCCTAAACCCTAAACCCTAAACCCTAAACCCTATACTTCAAAACGGATTCCTGCGTACGTCTGAGGCGCTGAAGCCGAGTGCCTTGCAAATCTGCGGCTAGGGTTTAGGATGAACAGTTTAGGGTTTATAGATTAGGGTTTAGGGTTTACAGTCTGGAGTTTAGGGTTTAGAGTTTAGGCTTAATAGTTTAGGGTTTAGGATTTAGGGTTTCCAGTTGAGGGTTTAGGGTTTAGGGTTTAGGGTTTGCGGTACTTCAGCGCCAGCGCCTTCTCCTCAAACGCCTGCAGCAGCGAGGCCTCCGCATCCCTCAACGCTCGTTGCTCTGCCTGCAGCAGCTGCTGCAGCCTGCAGCAGCAGCAGCAGCAGCAGCAAGTGCAGCATAAACAGCAACAACAGCAGCAGGTGCAGCAGCAGCAAATGCGGCATATACAACAACAACAACAGCAGCAGCAGCAACAGCAGCAACAACAGCAGCAGCAGCAGCAGCAGCACCTCTTCGCCATTTCTTGTGTATATCTCTCGGCGTGCTGCTGCTCTTCGTCTGCACGTTGCTGCTGCTGCAGCAAACTTTGTGCTGCTGCTGCTAATCTAGCTTTTAAAGAGTTAAGCGCAGAATGTGTCTCCGACTCTGCTGCAGCGACTGTCTCCTCAAGCCCCTCCACCCGCCGCTGCGTGTGCTGCAGCAGCAGCAGCAGCAGCAGCAACCGCAGCAAACGTAAGTACCAGCAACAGCGGGAGATGTAGCAGCAACACCAGCAGAAGCAGCAACAACAACAGAAGTAAAAGCAGCAGCAGCAGATGTAGCAGCAATAGCAGCAACAACAGCAGCAACAGCAGCAACAGCAGCAACAGCAGCAGCAACAACAGCAGGAACGAAAAGGAGACAGAAAGAGACAGAGATAGAGAGGCGAGAGATATCTATAAAAGGAGACAGAAGGAGACAATGGAGACAGCAGCAAATGAATTAAAAGAGACAGCAGCAGCAGCAGCAGCAGCAACAGCAGCAGCAGCAGCAGCAGCAACAGCAGCAGCAGCAGCAGCAAACCTCAATTCTTTGCTGTCTCTGTCTCTCTATACCCGCATGCAGCCCCGACAGCCGCTGCTCTAAGCGGTGAAGTCTTGCCTATACACCTCAACACAAATAAAGTATATTTATTATATGCAGCATATTATATATATATATATATTTGTTTATTTAATATATATATAATATATATAATATGCTGCATATAATAAATATATTTACTTTAAAATATATAATATAACAGTTACACCCCAAGGAAAACTAAACAATTAAAATAAAGAGACAGAAAAAGAGCAAAGAGACAATAAACAAAAGGAGACAGACAAAACAAATTAATTAATTAATTAATTAATTAATTAATTAATTAATTAATTAAATTAAACTAAATTAAATAAAACACAAGAGAGACGAAAGACCTTACACTCTTCCCGCTGCATGCAGAGACAAGACGAGCGCCTTCAATCTGCTGCTGCGGTGGCGAGAAGCAGCAATCCCTCCTGCTGCTGCTGCTGCTGCTGCTGCTGCTGCTGCCGGTAGACTCCTGAGCGCATTCACAAAGACAAAAATGTGGGGCCGTGAAGATTCCCCATCTGCTGCTGCTGCTGCTGCTGCTGCTGCTGCTGCTGCTGCTGCTGCTGCTGCTGCTGCTGCTG